TCAAACTGTCTATGAATCTGTCTGCCTTCCTTGGAAAGCTCTTAACTTTGTCAGTATTCTTTTATGCCAGCACTCAAATGTTTCTAACCTAGCACAAAAATACATAGGAACTAATACTTGTGTCAGCTGAATAAATTGCTGGAAATACAACTGAAGGTGTTTTTAGTAGCCACAGTGCATGAGCAGCTTCTGACCAACCATGACTAGGTCAATGTATTCATGACTCACCAAACTTCCAACTTCCCAGGCATTTTTCACATGAACTGTTGCCCAGTCAACTCTTCTTCACCCTGTTCTTGTGCATTTGAGATCTCATTTTTTGGGGGGTAGCAGTTCTGGGGATTGAATTTAAGACCTCACATATACTAAACAAGCACTTTACCACTGAGATTGCATTTTTTATTTTTTATTTATTCATTTATTTATTTTCATTATTTTGCATCATGTATGTAAGCATGTGTGTGCACACAGGAATGTGCACATGAGTGAGTGCTGGTGCTCTCAGGGGCCAATAGTCAGATTCCCCTGGAGTTGGAGTTATAGGTGGTTAGGAGCAGCCAGACAGAGTGCTGCTTGGGCCTTTTGCAAGAGCAGTTAAGTTCTCTTAAGCACTGAACCAACTCTCCAGTCCTTGACTTTAATTTTGATATGAGGTGTTACTACACCACAAGGCCAGTCTTGAAGGTAACTATGTAGACCAATCAGGTCTTGAACTTTCAGTTCTCCTGCCTCAGCCTCCAGAGTAACTGGGATTACAAATTTATGCTATCTGGCCTACCTGAAATTCTGAACGTAAACAAAAGACTTGGGCCAGTGAGATGGTTCAACTGGTGAAAACACTTGCTAAACAACTTAATGGCCTAATTCAATCTCTAGAGCCCACATATAGACGAAGAACATTAACTCCACAAATTGCCTTCTACCATACACATGCACATGGCATATAGCACCCCCACACACATATAGAACAGACACACACAATAATTAATTAAAAATAAACTATAATTTCTCCCTGTAATATTCAATTTTTATTCGATATAACAACTCCCTTGCAACTTTATAATACTTACACATTTTTACTAATATTTTTGAAATCTTTTTTTTATTTATTTATTTGTTTGTTTATTTATTATGTATACAATATTCTGTCTGTATGCCTGAAGGCCAGAAGAGGGCGCCAGACCTCTTTACAGATGGTTGTGAGCCACCATGTGGTTGCTGGGAATTAAACTCAGGACCTTTGGAAGAGCAGGCAATGCTCTTAACCACTGAGCCATCTCTCCAGCCCCTATTTTTGAAATCTTAAATTGTGTATGTGTGTGTGTGCATATATGTGATTGGCTCATTTCTAACACCAAGAAAAAAGTTACTTCCAAAAGAAGCAAGTGGGATTGCTCAGTGCCAGGTAAAAGGCTTACAACACAAGCTGGATGGCCTGAGCTAGATTCCAGAAACACATACAAGAGAGAACTGGCTCTACAAAGTTGTTCTCTGATCTCCCTAACACACGATGACATGAACTGCACACACACACACACACAACCACAAATAATAATTTTTTAAAAGTCACTAAAGCTCAGCATGGAGGTGCACATCTTTAATCCTAGCACAGAGGAAGGTAGATCTCTGAGTTTGAGAATAGCCTAGTCTACATATCATCAAGTTCTGGGCTATCCAAGGCTACATAGTGAGACCCTGTCTCAAAAAAAAAAAAAAAGAAGAAGAAGAAAATAAAAAAGGTAAAGTAAACAAGGCCACTAGAAAAAAGTTAGAGCACCCAAAGCTTTTATCAGTCTCTCTCATACACCTTTTTACAATCCTTAACTTAAAGAAAAGTCTAAATGTCTGTCACTTTCAGCTTGCCATTCACACCCACACATTTTAGAAGAGTCCCCCAAGTGCTTTTTGCCCCCTACTCACGAAGCGCTTGAAGTCTCAATCATATGCTGTTTCTCCCAGCTGTAGGACGTGTAATAAGAAAAGCATCTACTCAGCGTCTAGGGCAGGTCTGGTAAGAAGGATGAGGTCATCCTTCAGATTCACACCTGATCCTTAAGAAGCAGCTCCTCCTTCAGTAAGCAAGTTTCTGTATGTTTAAAGTGACAGTCACAACCTGTATAGCAACAAGTCCTTCCTTACACAGGCCTGGCACCATGGGATCATTTCCTGCTCTGGCCACTTGACACAGTACTGAATTCAGGGACCAATAGTAGCAGTGACTGCCTCTGTTGCAGCTCGCATAGGGCTCACAAGAGAAGAAGATCATGTTCAGCCACAACAGAAGGGAAGTCAGGTCCATCACCACAATCCTATCTGTTTCAACAGCTTTGCCCATAATCAGACCTTATGAAAAGCACTACTTTTTGGACAGATTTTACAAAAACAAATTTCCTCAAGGGGGAATTACAGCTCTTCTTTATTTTCTTTCCTAACGTTGAACTCACTATGTACAAGAGAATGACCTTCAGTTTCTGATCGTCCTGCTTCCATCTCCCAAGTACAAAGGGTATAGTTAGTGCTGGGTATCAAACCATGGACTTTATATATACTAGAAAATGAGCCATACTCCCGGTTCCACTACATAGTCTTCCATTTGCTCTTTCCACAAATCTAAAATAGCCAAGGCAGTTAAATATGCTTTATGCAGTTAAAACTAAATACTTCCATACCATGTTTTCCCTCAGTTTCACCATCTTTAAGAAAATATTTACTCTGTCGTATCCATTTCTTTATTGGCAAAACAGAACAATCCTAGCCCAAAGATACATGGAGTTGATTTCATTTCAAAACGCTATAGTAATGGTATGAAATACCTTCAGTCAAAAGTATTGGAGAGCAAATAACAAACATATCTATGTTCTTACTATGTATAAGGACCTCTGGTGATGCTCGCTGACTACAGCCTGAACTTGAAACAAAACTTAAGAACATTTCTCACTTTAGCACTCCTTCACAAGACTCTTTTAGTCAGGATAAACTTCCAACACACTATCAGACTAAAACAGATTAAAAGTAACGGTGGTGGTGGTAGCGACCACACACACCTTTAATCCCAGCACTAGGAAGACAAAGGCAAAGGCAAGCCTGTCAGTTGAAGGCCAGTCTGATCTACGGAGCAATTTTGGGACAGCCAGAACTAACACAGAGAAATCATGTCTCAATAAACAAAAACAAAGAAAGATAAAAAGTAACTACAGAAACACCACATTCATTCACTACTGGTTATCTTTTGATTGTTTTCAGACAGGAACTGACAAGGGCTGACTCTGAACTCCCCATCTTCTAGCCTTAGCCTCCAGAGTGCTGGGATTTCAAATATGCACCAACAACCTGGGTTATCTTTAAGATATAAAAAACACTTGTAAACAATAGAGCAACTTAGTATTTACACACTAGATGGTATATACAAGGATCCTTATTGTACTGTTCTTTTTACATGTCTTAAATAAAGTGTAAATAGCAAGACAAAAAAATTGAATTTCTATATACCAAAGGGCATAATCAATAGATTAAAAAACTAACCAATAGCTGGCATAACTGGATATCAACATATAGAAAAATAAACATAGACCCATACTTTTCACCATGCACAAAACTCAAGTCCAAATGGATCAAAGACCTCAACATAAAGCCAGCCACACTGAACCTTATAGAAGAGAAAGTGGGAAGTACAATTGAACGCAGTGGTATAGGGAACCACTTTCTATATAGAACCCCAGCAGCACAGACACTGAGAGAAACAATTAATAAATGGGACCTCCTGAAACTGAAAAGCTTCTGTAAAGCAAAGGACATGGTCAACAACACAAAACAACAGCCCACAGAATGGGAAAAGATCTTCACTAACCCCAAATCAGACAGAGGTCTGATCTCCAAAATATACAAAAAAACTCAAGAAATTGGACACCAAAAGATCACATAATCCAATTGTTGTTCTTTTTTTAAAAATGCTGCAAGATCCCCGCGGCAGTAGGCAGCAGAAATGCTGTAAGTCCCAAATGGTGGCGGCGGGCCATGTGGTGGCAGGCAGCGGGCCCTGGGAGCAGCCAGTCCCAGACAGAGAAGGGGGAAGAGAGAAGTGGAGAGAGAGGCAGAAGCAAAGCTGCCTCTCCGAGAGGAAGATGGAAAAGAGAGTGAGCTCAGGCCGGAAGCTGAAGATCAGCCTGCCTCAGCGGATGGGGAGGGGAATGGGTGTGGCTTGTCTCTTAAAGGGACCAAAACCATAACATTCCCAGGTCTTCCTTATAATAAAAGCACATACGTCAAGGAAACAGAAAAGGAAGGGCCCAAGATGGCGGCGGGCTGGTCAGAGGTAATGAAAGTGGGCATGGCTTGTCCCTTAAAGCGACAGGAAAGCACAACACCAATAAAAAAAAAAAAATGAAGTACAGACCTAAACAGAGAACTCTTAACAGAGGAATCTAAAATGGCTGAAAGACACTTAAGAAAATGTTCAACATCCTTAGTCACCAGAGAAATGCAAATCAAAACAATTCTGAGATTCCATCTTACACCTGTAAGAATGGCCAAGATCAAAAACACTGATGACAATTTATGCTGGAGAGGTTGTGGGGAAAAGGGAACACTCTTCCATTGCTGGTGGGAATGCAAGCTGGTACAACCCCTTTGGATGTCAGTGTGGCGATTTTTCAGAAAATTAGGAAACAACCTTCCTCAAGACCCAGTAACACCACTTTCGGTATTACCAAAAGATGCTCAATCGTGCCACAAAGACATGTGCTCAACTATGTTCATAGCAGCTTTGTTTGTCATAGCCAGAACCTGGAAACAACCTAAACGCCCCTCGATCGAAGAATGGATAAGGAAAATGTGGTACATTTACTCAATGGAGTACTACACAGCAGAAAAAAATAACAACATCTTTGAATTTTGCAGGAAAATGGATGGAGCTAGAAAGCACTATTTTGAGGGAGGTAACCCAGACACAGAAAGACAATCATCACATGTACTCACTCATAGGTGATTTTTATTTATTTTTTTTTCTTACTTAGTTTTTATTCATAATCATAAACTTAACTCTGCAATCCAGCTAGACTTGAAGGGGAATGAGGAAAATATGGAACCCAAAGAACTTCAGTGAGAGCAGAGATTACAAGGTACTGCGAGCAGATGGGGCTGGGGTGCTCTCCTGAGCTACAGAAGGAATGGTCTGGTGGGTAAGAAGCCCGCAAGTCAAAAGAATTAGAGTTGTCCACAGTCGGAAATGGTGATCTTCTTGCTGGTCTTGCCATTCCTGGACCCAAAACGCTCCATGGCTTCCACAATGTTCATGCCTTCTTTCACCTTCCCAAAGACCACATGTTTGCCATCCAGCCACTCAGTCTTGGTGGTGCAGATAAAAAACTGGGAACCGTTTGTGTTTGGTCCAGCATTTGCCATGGACAAGATGCCAGGACCTGTATGCTTCAGGATGAAGTTCTCATCCTCAAATTTTTCTCCGTAGATGGATCTGCCGCCAGTGCCATTATGGCGTGTGAAGTCACCACCCTGGCACATGAATCCTGGAATAATCCTGTGAAAGGAAGAACCCTTATATCCAAATCCTTTCTCTCCAGTGCTCAGAGCACGAAAGTTTTCTGCTGTCTTTGGAACTTTGTCTGCAAACAGCTCGAAGGAGACGCGGCCCAAGGGCTCGCCATCGGCCGCGATGTCGAAGAACACGGTGGGGTTGACCATGGCTGCAGCAAGCGGTGAAAGGGGACAGCGGAGTCTGCAAAGCCTCATAGGTGATTTTTAAACATAAAGCAAAAAAAACCAGTCTACAGATCACAATCCCAGAGAACTTAGACAACAATGCGGACAGTTAGAGAAACTTACAAAGATATAATCTACATGGGAAGTAGAAAGTATAAAAAAAAAAAAAAACACAAAATCTCCTGAGTCAATTGGGAGCATGGGGACTTTGGGAGAGGGTTAAAGGGGGAGGGGAGAGACAGGGAGGGGAGCAGAGAAAAATGTAGAGCTCAATAAATATCAATTAAAAATATATAAAAAAAACTAACCAATAAAATAAAAGCTATTATTAAGAATCGGTTTATAAAAGGTTATATACAACCATGTGCAGCACATTCCAGGATTCAGGAGGCTGAGGAAAAAACATCATCATGAGTTCAAGGTCATCCTGGGCTATATGCTGAGTTTCAGGCTAGTTTAAGCTATTAAATGAGACCCTGTCTCCATAAAATAAAATAACAAACAGTAGCAACAAAAGAGGTTAATATATATAACATGTAGAGAACTCTTGCAACTCTACAAAAAAAAAGTAATGAAGACAATGGACGTCAGCTGGAGAGATAGCTCAGTGTTAGAAGCACCTGCTGCTCTTCCAGAGGACCAGGTTTCACTTCCCAGGACTCAAATGGTGGCTCACAACTGTAACTCCAGCTCCAAAGTATACAACGCTTCTGACCTTCACAGGCTCTTGCACATATATAGCACACATACTTACATACAGGCACACAAATGCATATAAAATAAAATGAATAAATGTTTTCTACAACATCAAAAATAAAGCAGGGTAATAGTGATGCATGCCTTTAATCCCAGCACTTGGGAGGTAAAGGCAGGCCTGGTCTACAGAGTGAGTTCCAAGATAGCCAGGACTGTTACACAGAGAAAACCTGTCTCAAAATAAATAAAACCTAAAAAATATGATGATAGGAAAGAAGGGAGGAAGGAAGATTTTTTTTTTTTTTGTCCAAGATAGGGTTTCTCTGTGTAGCTTTGGAGCCTGTCCTGGAACTGGCTCTGTAGACCAGGCTGGCCTCAAATTCACAGAGCTCTGCCTGCCTCTGCCTCCCGAGTGCTCGGATTAAAGGTGTGATTATATCAAGTAAAATACACAAATGACTTATGAACATCTCAGGATTACTTACCATTAGGGAAATAAAAAATCATAATAAATGATACATCATCTCACACCCATAAGAATAGTTTTTGTTCAGGGCGTACTTGTACACACCAAGTCCCAGTACTTGGGAGTCAGAGGCACATGGATCTTTATTAGTTCAAGGCCAGCCTGGTCTATATAATGAGTTCCAAGACACCAGGGCTAAGTAGAGAGACCATCTCAAAACAAAACAAAACAAAAAAGAGTTAAACGGGAATGAAGAAAAATGTGCAACTTCTGTTTGAAGAAACTGAACTTTAAGATGAAATCATCTTTTCTCTACCATGCAGGGTGAGCCTGTTTTCAATCATTTTGTTCATAGGAATGGTGCAAAATTAATACTTTTACACTCCCTGGTGGAGCAGAAACAAATTTGACTTCCAAAACAACAAAAGAAGGCTGTGTTAATGAGAAGAAATGCCCCTCAGGATGTCTAGAGGTACAGGAGAGGTTAAGAGCACTTGTAGACCCCCTGAATCACACTGCCAAACATTCCCATCCTTCTAGAGAAGTTCTTCTACTGTCAGTCTTAAAAGGATTTTTGTATCAACTTTTACTCAAAACTTTTCTTAGAAAGATGTCTCAACGTCTCAAAAATAACTCACAAAAACATAGGCACCCAGCCCACTTAGATTTAAATAAAAAGTGTTATGGGGGGAGGGGGAAGCTTATTTTGTCCATATGCTATTCCAGCTAAAACCAATACAGGGGAACTGTTTCAAAAAGTCAACTTAATGAAAGAAAACACACCACTCACTAACCATATATATATGGTTTGGTTTTGTTTTTAAGTTTTTGGTTGGTTGGTTGGTTGGTTGGTTGATTGGTTGGTTGGGTTTTTTGAGACAGGGTTTCTCTGTGTAACCCTGGTGTCCTGAAACTCACTTTGCAGACCAGACTAAAATCAAACTCAGAGGTCCACCTGCCTCTGCCTCCCAAATGTTGGGATTAAAAGTATGCACAACCATGCCTAGCCAAATCTGTATTTCTTGATACACTTAAAATGGAAAAAAAAAATAGAGATAAAATGGTCCAGTGATGCAGACACACAGACTTACACACAGAGAGAAATGTAAACCAAATACAAGAGGCACTCAGTTAAATAATCTGAATGCATTTATCCTATGTAGGACATACAATAAGAGAAGTCAGTAATAAGTTTGTACTTTGTCTTTTATCCATGATCTCCTGACAACACTGGTTTCAACTTAGCTGAGAACATCTATAACTTTTTCCATAAAAATTATTATGCAGAGAATAAGCGTCTATGAAGTGCTCAGTCACAAATGGACATTCATATTACTCCCACCCTCGGGGCTCAAGCTCACTGAGGAAAAGGGACAGAAAGAGGGCAGAAGCCAGAGGCTGGGGAGGGTCAGAAAGAAACCGTCTTCTGGACATAACTAGGCCGTTGCACTCGTAAGCTCATTGCCCACTCAAGACCAGCAGAGACCGAGCCAGTTGACATTCTAGCTTGGAAGAGTTAGGGACTCACCAGGCCCCACTCCTAATTTAGACACTATTGACTGTTGATGCCTTCTCGGGAAGAAAGTCAGGTGTTTTTAAGGGTGTGGCTCCTGCTAGGTCAACTACACTCCAGTGGATGGGCCAACACCCATGAATATATGGGTAGCACCAGTCAGACTCAGTGAGTTATAATTTAAAAAAAAAATGGGTTGGGGGGGCTGGAGAGATGGTTCAGAGGATAAGAGCATCGCCTGCTCTTCCAAAAGTCCTGAGTTCAATTCCCAGCAACCACATGGTGACTCACAACCATCTGTAATGTAACAAATGAATGAATGAATGAATGAATGAATGAATATGGGTTGGGGACATGGCACACGCCTTTAATTCCAGCACTTGGGAGGCAGAGGCAGGCAGATCTCTGTGAGTTCTATGCCAGCCTAGTCTACAGAATGAGTTTCAGAAACAGACATTGCTACATTGTCTGGGGGTAGGGGAAAAGGGACACAAACAAACAAGCAAAAGTATCATTCCCTCATATGTAAACATAAATATTATATTTAATCATTATATATGCATATATAAAACCATTTCCACTCCTAAAACATTTCCTAGAAGCTTGCAATTATTTATTGTTACAACTATTTTCCCAAGTATAGTTCCCTATACAACTATACACAGCATGAAAATTAAATTTGTTTGTTTGCTGCTTGCTTGTTTTTCAAGACAGGGTTTCTCTGTGTAGCTTTGGCCATCCTAGAACTCAAAGCAGCTGTGATTATATTTATTCAATTCTTTGCATAACAATACAAACCCTTACATTTATAACAACACTGCAAGGCTTACGTGATCCTCCTGTCACAACTCCTGAAATAACCAGGACTACAGGCATGTGCCATTATGCCATTATATTAAAAAAATATAAGAAGAATCATGGGGATGGAGAGATTGCTCAATGGTTAAGAGCACTGACTGTTCGTCCAGAGGACCTGGCTCATTCCCAGCACCCACATGTCAGCTCACAGCTGTCTGTAACTCCAATTCCAGGGAATCTGGCACCCTCACACAGACATACATATGGGCAAAACACCAACGCACATAAAATAAAAAGAAATAAATCTAGCTGGGCAGTGGTGGCGCATGCCTTTAATCCCAGCAGAGGTAGGCAGATCTCTTTGAGTTCAAGGACAGCTTGGTCTAGGAGAGTTAGTTCCAGAACAGCCAGGGCTGATATATAGAAAAAGACTACTGTCTCTAAAAAGAAAAAAGAAAAGAAGAAAAATGTCACATCAGTTCCAACTAATTCCTAATCTGTCAATTACCAGCTGTATGATCTTTAATGACTTCATTTATTTCTTTTTAAATTTATTTATTATGTATACAGTATTCTATCTGTGTGTATGCCTGAGGGCACCAGACCTTATAACAGATGGTTGTGAGCCACCATGTGGTTGCTGGCCTGAAATGCACTATGTAGCCAAGGCTAGCCTCAAGCTTGCCATGATTCTGTCCCTGTACACCAAATTATAGGCTAACAATGATGTACCACGAATCCCAGCTTCCTTTTGTTTCTGGAGTTATTTTTTTAACTTCTTATCCTTATTTTTGGATTTATTTTTATTTTATGTATGAAGTAAGTGTATGCCATGTGTGAGAGTGACTGCAGAAGCCAAAACAGGGGGTCAGATGCCCAGGTGGTTATAAGTCACAAGATGTAGGTACTGAGAACCAAACTTAGGTCCTCTACAAGTGCAATGCCATGCTCTTGACCACTGGGCTATCTCTTTAGACTCATTTTTATTTTTAAAACTCAGGTATTCAAGACTATGCAGGTAGAGTGCTTGTGCAAGGCCCTAGGTAATTGCTTGCATGAGGCAAAAAAAAAAAGAGAAAGAAAGAAAGAAAGAAAGAAAGAAAGAAAGAAAGAAAAACTAAGGTGTTGCAGATAAAATGGGATATCATGACTGGGACATTAATAATAACTCAACAGACTGGGTGGTGGTGGTCCAGACCTTTAATCCCAGCACTCAGGAGGCAAATGCAAGCGAATCTCTGTGAGTTTGAGGCCAGACTGGTCTACAGAGTGAATTCCAAGACAGCCTGTCTGAGAAAAAAAAAAAAAAAACAACTCAATGAATGTTGTCTATTTTATTAGTGACTTAAGGATGTTGTGAGTTGCCCGCTGTGCTAATGCATGCCTGCTATCCCAGTGCAAGGATGACAGGAAGATCAGGGAGGGATAAGGCCAAATGCCAGGACAGCCTGGGCTACATGAAATGCTGACTGAAAGAAAAACAAACAAAAAATGTGGTATTTGTATCTTGAGAGATCCTGTCTCAGAAAGAAAAAAGGATTGTGATATT